TGATATATGTAACTCCATGATTTATTAACTCCTACGATTGGGAATGAGAAACGTACTCCTACCACTCCACCCATAGCCCAAAAAGCGTGGGGAGCACTAGAGAGGTAGTGACCGAATGATCCAATCAATCTATCTTGTTATATCTTTACTCTGATTTTGTTGACTCTCTCTTAAGTGAGTGAAGTGACCCATCACAATGGGGCACTCACTCTAACAAAGGAGAAGTTTCATCCCACCATTCCTGACGTTAGGAGAGGTACAAACTCAATTATAACTTTATAAAGAGTTATAAAGGTTAGCATCTTTCTATTTAGATGACGTAATCATGTCAATACCGTCAATTAATTATTTTTAAAATACAATAATGTATCATATTTAATATCTTACCTATTTTAAATATGTACATGTTATTTTTTATCATTGTTTGAATTTTGTGTCGACTCTTACGATTCCCGGTTCTTAAATCTATAATTTTGATTCCTGATACAAATCTGAATTTGAAAACTATGGATACAATCATATTATATAATATTTAAACCTCAGATTTCAATTACTCTCTCAAAAAACTGCAAAAAATTTCAAAATCTTTTGTACAAATAACAAGCTTAACAACACCCACCTTTTTAACTAGTTACTTGCACTCTTCTTGTTCACAAAAGAACAAGAGTAAGTAGTTATCATGCCGGATATTAAAAAAAACACTTACCATGCCTGAGTAATTAAGTCAATTATCAGAAATTACTATCCTGAAATCTTATGAAATGACAGAGATATAGTGTCAAAAACTAAAGAACTCATCACCTATAAAGTGTGTAAACAATGAAGACAAGAAAGATGATGGGATGCAATCATGCAATCGCCCTTAGAAGTAAATAAACTCGTTTTTTTTAAAAAAACAAGAAACAACCCATGAACTTAAGGGCTATAAATGCAAAGAAAACGAGAGGAATGTGGACTTTAAAGAGGACTTCCTAAGGGTCTTTCTTTTTCTTGGTTTTACGTTTATTTCTTTTTGGGTTGCAAGCATGGAAGGTAAAGACATTTTTGAAGTTAAAACACCCATCATGGATATGAAATGATCTTCAAGGTTGGGACAATTGTCTTAAGAGAAGACACTCCACATTCACTGCACCCACACTATTCTCTCCAATAGACAAATAAACACTAATCCCTACCAACATAAAATTGACATAAAACACTATTACCAGTTATCTCTGGCACTAACATAAAATTGAAAAAAAAAACCAATGGGCTAATGGATTTCACTCTTTTCCCATAATAGCAACCATGGTCGACCATATCAATTGGTAAACGGATATGATAATGCAAGTAACATTCAAAATTGATTTCCACAAAAGGGTCCAGAATCACAGTTGGCCAACAACTGTATCAAATTAGATTTATATATTAAAAGAAGCAGCATGTGTAGCATAATTCGAATTTAATACACCAAACACCATCTTATTGCTGTAAGCCAAAATCCACTTTTAGTGTAGCAAACAAACTCTACAAAATGCATAACAGCCATGGCTAATGACCTTTAATAATTCAACACAACTATAAAAGAGAAAAAAATATATTAATACTGCAAGGTAGTATACCAATTTAGAATCAGCAGAACAGAACGGCCATAGAAAAATATCAAATAATGAAAAATAATGGATCCTGAAGATATCACATGCAGACATCATAAACTCTAGAAACAATACTACCCAAAAATTTCATCAATTTTCAGTTCTTGTATCATCTTGGTGTCGACTATAGTGGAAATGGGAGAGATGAAGCCACTGGCAGAGCCAGTAATGGAACCAGGGGGGCCCACCCTGAACTTCTTTTAAAAAATTATTACGTATATATTTCTATAATTTTTGGGTATATTTCATGGTGGGATCCTATATATTTTGTGTCCAATCTATCAATTGCTTGTCCTATCAAGTAGTATATGTCTATACTTAATTAACTATCAATTTTTGGACACAATTTATACTTTACGAACACGCCTATACAAATTTTTGACATGTTAAATTTATTTTTTTAAGTTATGAAAATTGTGAGAATTAAGTTACATAATCAAAAGAGTGAGTTAATTATTTATATAGAAAAAGATATTCCCCATAATATAGATAATAAAGTTATCATACAATGTCCTTAAAGTATAAAATCTCATCGAAATCAATTGTGAATTATTACAATTAGCCTCGTTTCATTTTTTTTTTTTGTATACGCTATATATATATATATATATATCAATGTTTAACCATTTTGTATCTAATAAATGTTTGAGTATCAAATATAATATAATAAATTTAAATGTGTTAGGTTACTTTTATCAAGTGAAAGAAAAATTTAAGTTTATAGTTAAAGTGCACCCTCCGAACAAAATTTCTAGCTCCACGATTTGGCACTGCCTTATATAGAGAATCAAACATGTACAGAACAAAAACATTATAAGTCCCTAATTATCACAAGTAAATCTAGTTTTTACCTCCTGCTGATAATGCCCAACTGAGCCTTCCACTTGGACCGGCACCACAGACTCGTGCACCTGGAAAGACCCATAATTTCCAGAAGCAGCCGCCGCCACTTCAACTGGAGCCTTCATCTCCGGTGTCGTTGTGAAGTAGTCCGAAGCCATAATCTTGTTCAGCTTCTCCCTCAACTGAGCATCTACAAAATACACAATCAATTAACAAAGCAATCCAATAATTTACAAGAAATGACATATGTGATAAACTGTTCATACAAGTAACAGCTGAATTTGCCCCAATGGGTTGATCAGATTTTGAAAGCCAAAGCTTTGCATGCTCAATGCACCTCTGCAAAGCATTCTTGTGAGACAAACTCGAATCCACTGGCCGGGAAATCAAGAACCCACCGAGCATCGAAATTAAATCCAAATCCCTCTCACCAAGCAGGTCATTCGCATCATCATCAGTCACATAATCATAGGTCAAACAACACCCTCTTTCGTGAATTTTCGTCAGCATCGTCGCTGTGAAATCGTTCTGAGACTTCACATCAAACATACTCCCAAAGTAAAGCAACTTCAACAGATCATCAACCACCAAGTCATATTGACTTTCGAGGTCATTGTTTGTGTTATTTTCTTCAGGATCTTTGGTTTCGGTGGGTTGGGCGGTGGAGACTTGGTGGCGTTGGATGGCAAGATTGACTTCCTCTACGACCACGGATGAGAGGGGTTGACGGAGCTTCTCAAGCTCATCGATGGCAGCTATTATGGAGGGTTTGGTCTTGAGAGTTTCTTCTTGCTCGTTGTTGATGGGTTACCCTGGGCAATAGACTCTTCCATCTGGACGATGCGGTTGTATTTCTTTCGGAGGCCACGGATACGCTTGTTGATGAAAGATAGGACTGGTCCGTCGGTGACATCAGAGGCCGCGGTGGCCGCCATTGTGGTCGATAGAGTTGGTGTTTTCTTGCAAGAGAGTGCGGATATCGCCGCCGTGCACGGCGGTGTAGGTTGTGGAGAGCGGGACTGAAGCTTTTGGGCGCGCTTGGGGGAAAGGAGAGACAGGGGAGGGGATGGGAGGAGGAGAAGGAAGGATGGCGGTGGGTTTAATGGAGAGTACTGAGGGTAAAGAGAAGAATGGATTGATCTGGTATTGTTGGGTTTATTACAATTTGTAGCCAAAAAATTAGGGTAAATCATACTTTGCACCACAAAAGATCAACAATATTCTCAATTTATCCTCTAAAAAAGTTAAATTTTTTATATTTGACTTTCAATTAAACAAAAAGGTAGTAATGTGTTATATTTTATAAAAAATTGAGTAACGTTTTTTTTTATTAAAAACACTTAAAATTGCATATTATTTAAATAATTATGTATACAAATAAGATAATATGGCAAGTATAACAAAAAAAAAATTAAAAAGCAACAAATATTTATTTTGGAACTACGTCACTACCTTTTTTATGTGTGATATGAGAATTTTAATATTTTCAAGATGTAATAACATACAAAGTGGCATTTTTCCATAAAATTAAATATTCATTGGAATTTGGCTTGTCCATGCACTGATTTTGTTTTTTTCCAATTCAATTCAATTATTTAGATATAAAGTAATGTTTTTATAGATTATTCAAATACAAATTTAAATTATTTAGAAATCGGTTCATATTTCGATCAATTGTCTTTGCTCAAGTGTGAACCGTAGACAACCCTTTAGTAGTTTAATTTCTTCTTATTGTACTTTTGAGCTAACTCAACCCGAATGGAAAGGAAAAGGTAAGTTAAATTGCAGTACAGCTTAACAAACCAATCAGGCATTTCGGAAAAGAGTGAAACTTCGCATCGAAGGAAGGAGTAGAAATTGTAGAGCTTCCTCTTCTAAAGAAAACAAACAAAACTTTAGTGGTTCAAGCAATCCATAAAGTCAATAAATGTTACATGCCCCATTTGAGGGCGCAACGTAGACTAATTTCATTTCACTTTCATATATTTAAATAGTTCTTATATGTGTGTAGCCTTTTTACACTATGCTGGGATGTTTATATCCATTAGTTGCATTCTTTCTCCCTTAATAGTTAATATGGATATGTCAATATCTAATTACACTATCCGAATTATATATACTCATACATTAAGTACATTAGGGTGGTTATTTGATATAATTGAGTTAAAATTTAGATTTAATTTGTTAACTTAACTTTTGTGCAATAGTTAAATGCTATTTTCTCGAAATTGCCATACCCCCCCCCCCCCCCCCCAACCTCTTCTTTCCCTCCCTCCTAGTGAAACTCCTCGAATGGACAAAATAAGATTGGGCCCATACAAACAATGGAATGTACTCTATCGAAAGTGGGTACCATTTGTTAATGTACGAGCTATGAGCAGAGCCACAGCTTCCACAGCATATCAGACACCAGAAGGTATATATGAAAGAACATCTAGAAGATTCAAGTTTCCCCCAAAATTAATCATTTATGTGGAAAGTTACAAATGGGGCTCTACTAGCCAAGTGAGACTTGTGGAGAAGGAAACTTGATAAAACACTCACTTGCCCAAATTTGTGGAGAGGAAGATGAGACCAGTGAACATCTTCTTCTCATTTATCCATGGGTTCAAAAAATGTGGGAACTTAGTCCTTTAAACATCAAATTTGACAGGTACGATGTAACTAGAATTGAAGACTAGTTCATCCCGGCCTACAAGCACAAATCTTTAGCCCGAAATATAATTTTAAAGTACTCCAAAAACTCAAATATAAATAAAGAAGATGGTAAGACTCTTGCAAAGTTCCCTATTAACATAGATCTTGATCGGACTCGGTCAAGATCCAAACAACAAGAAACACTCCACCACTGTCTAGTGTTACACCCTTGGTTTGTTGGCTTGGCATTGACATGTGGTTGTCTCGCCTAAAGGCACTTATGCTTTATTCAAATTGGGTTGTACTTGGTAAAACAAACCCTTAGTTTAAAATTAACTTCTAAAGAACTTCAACGTGTACTTAGTTGGGTTACAAAGTAGTTCCACAAAGTGGTAAGTGCAACCTTTACTACAATTTGTATCCAAAAAATTAGGGTAAATCATAATTTGCAACACAAAAGATCTACAATATTCTCAATTAATCCTCTAAAAAAGTTAATTTTTTTATATTTGACTTTCAATTAAATAAAAAGGTAGTAATGTGTTCTATTTTATAAAAAAATGAGTAACATTTTTTGATTAAAAACACTTAAAATTTAGTATTACGTAAATAATTATGTATATAAATAGGATAATATCACAAATATAATAAAAAAAATTAAAAAGACAACAAATATTTATTTTAGAACTACGTGGTTACCTTTTTTAAGTGTGATATGAGAATTTTAATTTTTTCTAGATGTAATAGCATACAAAGTGTCATTTTTCCATAAAATTAAATATTCATTGGGATTTGGCTTGTCCACGCACTGATTTTTTTTGGAATTCAATTCTTTAGATATAAAGTAATGGAAACCTGATTATTCAAATACAAATTTATGTGCCGAATAGCAAAAATCAGGTGTTCCGATCAATCGTCTTTGCCCACATGTGAACTGCAGATAAATTTCCGGTTGTTCTATTCTTTCTTATTATACTTGGGGGGCGTTTGGACGGTGGGTTAAAGGTGGCTATCCACTAGTAGGATGGGATAAAATAAGAGTGGGACCCAAAAAATTCTTGTTTGGAAAGTCATTTTTGAGATTGGATACAAATTTCCGATCTAGACCCAGTTGCTACAGTACTTTGTAGGTTAAAATTAACCCACCCCTCCCATGGGTTACAAACCCAACCTACAGGTTAACAAGAGATCAGACATATTTACCCCCTCATTTCTCGTTGCTTCACTCTCGTCCAAGCTTCTCTGATGTCGTCAACAAGGGATTGTTGCACAGAAGCGACGAAGAAGACACGGATTCAAGCATCTCCGAATATTTTTCTCTTCGTTTTAAAGGATGATTTTTTTTTTTTAAATATTGTTCATCTGTTGAACCCCAATCCCCAACCCATCTAATATTGTTTATCTGTTGAACCCCAAGCCCTAACCCATCGCTGAAAATGGTGTTGCTGGTATGAGTGAGAAATCCAAAAGATTTTCGATAAACAATAACAAAGAGATGGATTTGTTGGGTGATAAGAGAGTAACTGGATTTATTGATGTAAAAAAGGAAAAATATGAAGGGTTTTGGGAGTTGAGGGAATCAGCTCGAAAGGCTCGGCAGAAAATGGAGATTTGTGGAGAATGGTGGAATACCACCAAGCTCAACTCGAAAAGCTCGGCAAAAATATAAAGGGATTTAACGGTGGTGGTTGTGGGAGAGATGGAGCAGTGAATTCTGCTGGCAGTGGTGGTGGGTTTAATGGTGGTGGTGGGATGTATATGTGGAGATGCAGACCATCAGGTAGATGGAAGGTTCTGGTTTCTACGTTCGATATGTCTGATAAGAAAGGGGATCGGAGAATTACACTTAAATCCTTTAAAATTTGTTATTTAATTATTCAAACTACACATATATTCTCTCAAATTTATGCACATAACAGTTAGACCCCTTAAAATAAATATATTCATTATTAAATTACACTTAAACCCCTTTAAAGTTTGTAGTAGTTATATAATACTCAAACTTCTTAAATTTAAAATATTATATGTAGAGCAAAAATACTCCAATCAGAGATAAAATATCAATTATTATTTTGCAATTAAAATTCATAGTCTATTTTATTATTTATTGAAATAAAATTAAAAATAAAAAATTTAATTTTTTTCTTAAAAAATCAAAATTAATATATAATTATACTATCTATTGAAATAAAACTAAAAAAATTAAACAAGGGGTCTAAATCGTATATAATTTTTATATGTTTTAAAGTATATGTGAAAAATGTATAATTTTATTAGGATAATCTACCAATCCAAACTTAAGATAGGATTAGTTTGGATTAGAATAGATAAAGTCATGAGTAAAATGATAAATTATTACATATAATCTATGGGGCTCACTGAATTACATATTTATTTCCCAAACAGAGGTGGGAATTGGATATATTGCAAGGTTAAGGTTTTAAAATGGATGAGTGGATTTGACTTGGATGAGTTATGATATAAAAAAACAAATCCTATCCTATCCAACCCCATTATCCAAACACACCCATATGGGTTAACCAAACTCTAATGAAAATAAGAGGGTAAAACAAACTATACTCCACTTTGTACGTTTACCGAGCAAACCAGACACTTTTGAAAAGAGAATGAAATTTCTCACCAAGTGGGGGAGTAGGAATGAAGGAGAATCCTATTCTCAAAAATCGAACGAAACTTTAATGGTTCTTGGAACTCATATGGTCAATGTGACATGTCCCCTTTGAATATATAGTATGAACTACTTTTATTCCACTTTTATATTTCTATATAGTTTTTATACGTGTACAATCCTTTTGCATTATGTTAGAACGTTTATATTCGTTGATTGCATTCTTCCTCTCTTAATAATTAATATGGATTTGTCAATACCTAATCATTCAATTCAAATTATATATTCCAATATATTAAATACATAATGCAATTGAGTGATCATTTGATATAATTGAGTTAAAATTTGAATTTAATTTGTTAATTTAGCTTTTATGCCATATTCAAATTAGATCAAATTAAATTGGGTTTGAGATCTAATTTTTTTAACTTTTTATAGATTTGGATATAAATTATTAAAATAAACTATATCGAATATTCACATCAAAATTTCAAAATCAACTTAGGATTTGAATCAAGTGAAATATGATCCATTAATAGACCTAATAGAAAGGGTGATTCAAACAATTCATAATTCCCGGCAGAGTCACATTCAAAAGGTCTAGGATCTTATTCAGCAATCTTCTGGGGGATGAAATCCATAAATGATAAATGCTATTTTTTCTCGAGAAGTTGCTAAGAAAATCGTAGCAACACCCCCCTTAGTTAAACTCCTCAAATGGACAAAATAAGATGGGCCCATACAAACAATGGAATGTACTCTATCGAAAGTGGGCACCATTTGTTAATGTACGAGCTATGATCAGAGCCACAACTTCCATATCATATCAGACACCAGAAGGTACATTAATCATTTATGTGGATAAGGAAACTCTACAAAACACCCACTTGCCCAATTTGTGGAGAGGAAGATGAGACCAGTGAACATCTTCTTCTCATTTATCCATGAGTTCAAAAAATGTGGGAACCTGTTAAACCAGTGTTTTAAAATCTGGCCCGGTCCGATGGGTTGACCTGGTGACGTGGTAAACCGGTCCCCTAACCGGGCCGATTTTGTAATTGGATCGTTTGAGCAAACAATCCGAAATAAAACCGGTGAACCGGTCAAAAAAACCGGTAACCTGTGAAAACCGGGCCGGTTTACAAAATCGGCCGATTTTGTTCTTTTAGTATAAATATGTCTTTTTTTTACATTTTCGTGTATTTTTCTTTTCCCCTTCTGTTTTGTCCAAAATCCTAAATCATTCGTTCAGTGTCCACACTCCACAGCCCAGCCTCCATCCTCCACCAGCACCACAACAGCCTCCACCCTCCACCAGCGATTCATTTGCCCTAATTTGATCTTTGTCGTTGTGAGCCTCTGCCTCTCGTCTTCCTCTTCCTCTCTACCTCTCGTTTTCCTCTCTACCTCTCGTCCTCCTCTCTGCCTCATCGTTGGATTTTAAGGTTTGATTACTCTTAGCCTCTTACTCCGATTCAGTCCTCTCTCTCTCTCTCTTTGCGATGTGGTTGGCTTGCTCACTCGAACTCTACGAATTTCATTCTCTAAGACACAACAATAGGTACCTCTCTCTCTCTTTCTCTCTCTCTCTCTCTGTATATATATATATTTGCTCTGGGAGCTAGTTTTTGCTTTCTGTTTGTGCTGTCCTCCATGGTTGTTGTTGCTGGTGCTGATTTTTGCTTTTGTTTCGTGTTGCTATGCCTTTCTCTTGAG